CAAGTTTATTTATATGTTTTTTTATACTTGAATTGATATAGAAACATTTCATTCTTTTCTTGTTTACTTAAATTTTTGTAAGCTTAAATCATCATTTAAGAAAATTCTGGACCTTTTTTAATTTTAGCTCCAAAATATATCTCTTCAACTAACATTTACACAATAAATGTATCAGATCCATCATTTTTAATAAATAAAGTCATATTATTTGTTTATTTATAAAATTTATTTTGAAGTAAGAACATACGGAGTCTATTGTACTATACTTTAAGGGTTTGCTTTAATTCATATATGGCCTTTTTTAACTTGGAAATATGTTGAGATTAACTTGAGCTCTTAAAGCTAGCTAGTTGCTCAACATTCAATACTCTTCTTTTATACCATTCATAAAGATACTTTTAATATCCATTTGATATAATTTGAAGCTCCAAAAGTATGCAAATGCAATAGTACTTTATTAGCTTCAAGTTGTGCTTACGGTGCGAGTGTTTTTTTAAAGTCTATTTCTTCTGTCCGATTAAAATATCTTTGACAATTAATCTAGTCTTCTTTCTGATAACACCATAATCATTTAGTTTATTTTTAGAGAATTATTTTGTTTCTATGACACTTTATTTAATAGGCCTTAATACGAGTTCCTAAACATCTTTTCTGGCAAGCTATTTCAATTTTCATGATTTTTTTTATTTAATTGTAATCCAAAACCATAGCTTTTTCAATGTTAGCATCAAGCTTTCTAAATTTTAGCATAAAATATTTACCACCCAAACATATATAGATGGAATAAATTTGGTATTTTGCCTTTCGAGTGAATTGTAATTCATTGTTATGGCTTTCACGTTCATTAAATTCGAAGCTACACTAGGCATAAGTAATTTAAGTTTTAAGCAATTCATCAACAGGTTGGAAGAGAATTCTTTGTTATGGACTAGCTAGAAATTTGAGCACTCGGGAAAATCCACATTCCTATGTTTGCAGCCTCATCGATGCGTGAGTAAACTCAAGAGCTGTTTTTTTTTATGTTAGATTGGATTCTATTTTGATCAAATTTCTCATGATATTACATCCTAATTTATTTAGATCTCGTTTAAGATTCTATGGGCGCAAATCCTCATAATTAACCTCACCAATGGGAGAATGCTAATAATTAAGGAGGTTTCTTAAGCTTAATTTATGCTCATATTTAATATTTAGATTTCAGTTAATCTAATATAGAATGTTGAGAGGGTGGGCATGATCTTGATTCTATATTTTTTTCATCTGATGTATGCTAACAGATTCAATCCATCAATATCAAGGGTATTTGAGCGATAAGATCCAGGGAGCCTAATTAGCAATTTTGGGTTCTCTTATATTTGTTATCATCATTGTCTTATTTGTTATCTTCATCACACACGAGTGAAAATATATGGATGCTGAAGATGTTCTTTTAAAGCTGACATCAACGAGTTTAGCCATATTAGTTTCATTGAATAGTTTTGATGCACAGAATATGGATGATTGTAGTTCAGAGGTATTGTATTTTTTATGAGTTTCAATTTCACCTGAAGAAGCGTGTCTAAGACATGAGGTTTTTGGTTTGTGTTATTGTAATTGATGTATGATTTGATTGGTAGGCTTGCATGGGTGTTCACCAGACTCAGGCTAGGTTAACTCTTACATCAATTGGAAAATTGAAAATTTAATTTAATGTGTTTGAGGTTGTGCTACCAAATTAAGTAGGGTTGCTTACTTCCGTTAAATGATCTCTAAGCTGGTCATGCAACATCAAGGATGAGGAAATTCCAATAATGGGCCTTATGATTATGAGAATAAGTACGTTAGCTCATTTGGTTTATTTTGTGGACTTGTCTTTTTGTTAACCTATTAATTATGAGGTGGATTTACGTCCATCTCAAGGGATTTGAAAATCTGGTGGTAAGAATTTTGTATCTTTATATTAAATGAACTCTAGTATTTAGAATTAACCCCGATATTTTGCTATACATAATTTTATCTCGCCAAAACTATTTGTTGTTTTTCTCTTGTTAGAAAAGTTATGAGACTCTCCTCAATAGATGTCATAATGGACTAAAACCGGATTTACTTTATAGGAAAGGCTAAGAGGATCACACAATTAGTTTCTAGCTAGAAGAGGCATGCTTTATGCCATGGTGGTTCAAGAGAATGTGAGAGAGTTTAAAGGAGTCATAGCTATTTTTGTTGGTAAAATTAGTGTTGTATTAGGATTATAGCAATTCCTAAGGGGTTATGTAAGATTTTTTACACGGGCTTTTTAGTGGGAGAAGTGTAGTGAGAGTAGAGTTACAAGGGAAATTGAGATAGGGCAACACCATGAGCAACTGAGACAAGGATTGAGTGAGTGTGGGAATAATCATACAGTTGTAGTCAATTTGTGGTCAAGTAGTGTTGCTTTAGGATTATAATGAGTCCTAGGGGATATGGTGAATTTTTTTTACATGCACTTTTTAGTAGAACTGTAGTAACAGTAGACTTACAAGGGATGTTGATATAGGGCAACATGATAGAGCAACTGAGACAAACATAGAGTGAGTGTGGGAATAATCATACTGTTGTGGTCTAGTTGATGATAGGGAGAGCTGTCTACTCGGAGGTGGGTGTAATTCTTGGTTGCGATCTAGAGGTATAGGGGGACAAAAAAGAATGACACTAGGAAAAGAAGTGGAGCCAAAGCGAGAGAGTTATATGAGCGTTTAGGTGGAAATGTGAGTTGCTAGAAAATTCAGTGCCAAGTGGCTATCTCCAAAGTGATTGAGAGGTGGGTTCGACATGCGTTATTCAAAGAAAAAAAATTAGTCGTTGAAGAGCTTTAGTTGGAGAATTGGGATGTATTCTTTTTTTCCTTTCCATGACTATGGCTAAATTGAAATAGGGTACTCTTGGGCTCTTTTTCTTATGGGCCATTGAAACATGAGTTGTGGTTTTGAGAGAGTGAAAATGGTTATGGAGTTATTCTATTAAGGGCTTTATGCCAATATTTATCTTATTTCCTATCCTTTTAAATGGTTTAGGTTCCACATAAACCCATGAATTGAAAATATAGCAACTGGCTAATAGAAGACATAATTTGAAATATAGCCTATTAAATTTCATATTATTGCTTGATATAAATCTTAATTAAATTTCATGGCTTTAACTAAATTAGTTATGCCTTGAACCTAATCAAATGTTCCGCTTTTGTAAGTGTAAAAATAATAATATCTTAATTAAGCTCGTGCTTGATTATGAAAGCTTAATCAATCCTAATAGTAGAGTTTTAATTAGGTTAATTTGGTTAACCAGGCATGAAGTAAGTCAAAATCGTAAGCCTAAATTTTGCAATCAAATGCTCAGTTATATTAACTAGGCCTTTAATTAATTAGGGAAGATTAATTAAGCCTATTTTTGGGGAAACGAGTATTTACCTGGCTTAATTACCTTATTAGGTGATTAGAATGAGGATAATTAGCCCTAATTTTTGGTATTTACACAATCATTTGCATAAGCATGATCTACTTGTCAATATTCATAGAAAACTAGCTACTAGGTATGGCAACAAGAAGTTTTTTTTTTTTTTTTGTCCTATGAATTCGAGGCATCTGGAATTTGAGCTTGGCGATGAGGTTATTATGCATTTAAATCGAAATCTTGAAGCTTTAAGAAATTTTACGTAAGGAAGGAGGGATCATTTAAAATTGTACAACACATTGAAACTAAGGCCTATAAGTTATAAATTTTAAGAAATTTTGGTTTAAATTCAATTTAGAATCTGCTTAATTAGGCTTTGTTTTATGGGCCTACTAACAATTCATTAGATTTCATTCTCTTTTCACATGTTCCTTGTGACTCCACATTTATTTTTTTACTAAAGCTATTCTAGACTATATGATGGTGTTTGTTATTGATGGTGGATTTTAGTGATGTTTTCACTTGAGAGATAATCCTGATTATGATGATTCGTGGATTAATCAAGGAGAGGCCCATAGTCTATTTATTCGAGTAATATCAATCAATGAATTCATCAGGGTTGGATTTGTCCAAATAGACAAATTTGCTTAAAATCTCCACATTTATTCTTTTTAAAAACATCACTTAAAGTATCAATTTTATGTGGAGCACATGTATTTTTTTTTTATTTGTTGGATTCTCTTTCATTAATTGGGCTGTTGTTGTTGTTGTTGTTTTTCTTTTTATTTGTTAGAGGACATGCCTGTGATTCTAATTTGAGAAATATTATATTTAATTTAATAGCTTTACATTTATTTAGTTGTTATAATGTCAATTTTGATTAAATTTTGGTTAATTCAGACATAATATTTAGTAAGTTTTGATTTATTGTTATTGGTTTTGCTAATAGAACTTGAAAGTTCAACTTGTTTGTGCTGAATTTTTCAAAAATGGATTGATTCTTTAGTTTTTGGCATTTAGTATCATGCGATGGAATTTATAATTATTCAATAATAATAATAATAATAATAATAATAGCAGGTGGGTTTGTGGGCAACTTGAATTGGCAGGAGATTTGTATCAATAGTTACCATAGTAAGTACTATAGCAGCACTATTGGCATTATACTGATGGGTTTTTTCGCTAGAGTTTGGAATTTAACTTGGTGTTTGACTAAATTTGGAGGATTCAAATAAAATTTGAAATATTTATTTATTCAATAATATTAAATTAAATTTAAGTTGAGACTGATCCTATGCTAATTAATATCTACTAGCCTAGCTTAGAAGTCTATAAATACAGGCGCCTAACATAAGTCACATCTTCTTGTATACAATTTCACTATATAGTTTCAATCTTTTGAGTGCAATATAGATGCTTCTTCTCTTCAAACCATTTGATTCTTTTTGGTAGCCTTGGGTCATTTCTTTCTGTCTTTATTATGTTAAGAATCTACATTATTTCTTGTTTACCAAGGTTTCTCATTTTGATCACTTATAGCTTTATGCAAGTCCTTTTATCAAATTGTAATTTCATTGCTGCCGCTTCCACAGATATAGTTACATTTTTCTCCTCGGAGGTCATATTTTACATTGGACTTGGGGTCTTTCTCTCAATTACTGATCTCGTACAACGTCCCTACATCAACTTCAGCCCGAGACAATGGAGCCTTATCACCGGCCTCAAAGGATATTTGTCTTCTGCCTTCTTCACCATGGGCGTCAAAGTAGTCGCTCCTGTTCTCGCCGTGTATGTTGTTTGGCCTGTCATCCCCCTCCCGGCAGTGATCTCAGTGGCACCATTTCTTCTCGGATGCGCCGCACAATTTGCATTTGAGCTTCACCTTGACAAACGACAATCCTCCTGCTGGCCCGTACTGCCAATCATCTTCGAGGTATATGCGAACTAATTACCTCATTCAACTTGCCAATTCACCTCAGGATCTCAGCCAGGAATCAATATTTTTCAGGTTTATAGATTGTATCAGCTAAGTAGAGGAGCATATTTTCTTGAGAAGTTGATGTTTTCGATGAAGGGAGCCAAAATGACACCAAAGGTAATTGAAAGGGGAAATGCTCTGGTTTCCTTGGTTGTTCTTTTTCAGGTCCTTGCTGTTGTTTGTCTCTGGTCCTTGACTACTTTTCTTCTGAGGCTTTTTCCTTCCAGGCCTGTTGCAGAAAACTACTGAATTATCACTGTTTTTAGAGTTTTGATTAGATGTGGTTAAGACTCAATATTAATGTTTTTGTGGTCTTGTCTGGTTTTTTTACATTATATATTATATTTTGAAAAATAAAGTTTGTCAATTTATCAGTTGTTTGATATTAGTCTAGATTTTAAATTTTACAAGTTCTTTCTTAAAAATGATAGTTTTATTTTTCATATTCAATAAATAACTGCTCATTCTTTTTTCAAATATGTTTGATTTTTAGAAGCAATCGAACGAGCCTTTAGAGTCATACAAGGTTTGGTATTCTATAGCACACGAAGATAGTAGTGTATAATATACTAAAATTAGGGAAATCAGGAGAAATACAACTATCTCATCATGCGTAAATATATAAAATATTACGGCCGGACTCGATACTTCCCAAATTTAGATATATTGCATCCGTTGTTCGGGCACAGCTTGCGTTCTGACTCTGAACGCAATATTTTTTCGTAAATACGGCTGTGTATAGATTGTTAATAGTCCCTATTTATTTTGAAATATCATATTTAATTTAGAGTTTCAATCATAATATATTAAAATGCTAATTGTGTAATACTTTAATCATAAATTTGTTTTGTTGATTGATTAAAGTGGCTAAAAATGAGATTAATTGGAGCTTTAGTGGTGTTTATATATGTTGCCTGACCTCAATTTTTGTTCAATTTGATTTTACTTTATTTGAACTTTTGTGATTCATTTTTATCAACATGCCATGCACTTTATACTAGTTTTCTTCTCATTAAGATTATAATAAAAGCACCATTATAGCAGATATATTATTGTCTTATTAATAGCTTATGTTTCTATTACTTCTCCCTTTAAGAAAGTACATTAAAAAAATGAGCACATTTTATCTATTAAATAGACATTTAAATTCACTCCTAAATAATTAAGATAAAACAAATTTCTTCAAAGAATAATAACATATAAACTATGTTAATGAGTAAGGAGAGGAAGATGGGGTGTTTGAGGATGGTGGAAAGAAAAGATTTGTAGTTTGTGGTGGTGGTGAGCATGTGGTCACTATTCCCCTCAATCTCTCATCTCCTTTTACACACTCAGTTCTCTTGCTCCATATCTGTCTTCCAACATGTTCTATTATTATTTTTTATTTGAATTATGTAATAATGAATGTGGGAAGAGCAAACCCTTATTCATTTCTTCCATCCAAAAATGCTAATTGTAAGTTAGGGGTGTAAACGAATGAACACAAGCAAGCCCAGGCTCAGCTCGTGTTCGACTCGTTTATATTTCAAGCTCAAAAAGTTTGTTCATGTTTGACTCGCTTAGCAAACCGAATACGAGTTGTTCACGAACAAAAAATCGTTTTGACAACCCTAATCACTTAGCCATGAGATGTTAAAAATTGAGGAAAGATTCAAAAATTATTGTCTATATTAAAACATCATTTAAAATGTAATTTAATAATTTTTATTTTATTTTCTTAATTAATACTTTTAATTAATTATAAATATTTGTAGCCTTGTAGCCAATTAAGTGTTTTAAAAATACTTCTCATCAATATATAAATGTATATCATTGATGAGTAGTATTTTGAGCCAAAACGAACCGAACACGAATAAACAAATCTTTGTTCGCCGGACACGAGCTTCTTAACAAACCTAACATGAGCTGCTCACGAACAACGAGCTACTTTGACAACGCTACTGTAAGTATACACCACTACCTAAATTAATCAAAGTATATAATTCTCAACTTTATATGCTAGTCTAATGCCACTTACATTAGATGTTGAATAAAATTCACCCCTTGACATTAACGCCACTTACTATAGATGTTGAATTAAATTCACTCCTTTGACATGTTAACCCCATCTACCAACATGGGGTTGAATTAAACTCACTCCATGTCATAGAAAACTCAATTTATCAACATAGGTGATTCCTTCAAGCTCTCCTTAGACATCTCTTGAAGGCTACATTAGAGATGTGTTAAACAGCATTGTATGCCAATCAACATCATTGTTTGCTTCCATTTATATGGGATCCATTTTAAATCATAATTGATAAATCATTAGTTAAGTTTTTATGCCCCAATCTCTTGCCATCCTAATATAGACTAATTGCTTATTATATAAAGCAACTATTATTTATCTATAATTTATATATAAAGAAAAACATATGTTGAAATAACCCTCTTCTTTAAAAAGCACAAGGTTCAACTAGTAGAGAAAAGGATGCATGAAATTTTATCATAATTATCTCTAATGTAACCCTTATGTGATACCTCTTTGACTTATTAATATTGGGGGGATGCCTTTTTTTAACCGGATTAACAACTAACAATTTGAAATAAGTTGTTAGTGTTTGGTGAATGGTTATTGTAGGAGTTAGTAAATTTTAAAGCTTTGTAGCAGCTTAGAATTTAGTTTGATTTTAGCTTTGCCTTTCGAATGACTTTTGATCTTTAAAGTATCATAACCAACTCACCTAAGCCATTCAAATGTAGGGCTTGGTGGCTGCAAGGTTTTCAAAGTTCAAGTTGTTTTGTAGCAATTTTATGCTTCATAGTTAGGGCTGTTAAAAATACTCATTTTTCATGTTCTAGCTCGCATTAGACTTGTTCGTTAAGTAAATAAGTTGAACAAGAATAACTTTTTAAACTCGAATGATGAACAAGTCACATGAACTGTCACATAAGTTCGACTTGTTTTAACTCTAAATAAAAAAAAAAATGTATACATATTATTTATATAATAATATATTATATATATTAAGTTCACAAGAACAACCCTTTGGCTTGGCTTGTTGACAACTGCTATGAAATCAAGAAATTTTAAATTCATATTGGCTAAAATCCTATGCTCAAACAAAGAGCTTCCAATAATTACATACAAACCACCCGATACATTGATATTTACAAATTAACCCAAACAGGTCTTTCTAAAACTAGCGAACCGATTATTCGAGTGTGTCATGATCGAAACTAGTGAAAATTTGACAAAGATGAAAAATCAGGCCTTGGGTTTTATCATGAATTTTGATATTTGAGTGCCAATTTGAAAATTGGATGAAACAAGGTGGTTGAATTGAATGTAGCAAATTTCAAGTGGTCTGTATGCAATTTCCCCCTAAATTTTTACAATATCGGCTTCCTACCCTTCATCAATCAATAGAGAGATCAAACAGCCGCATCATCATACAAAAGAAAAAACATTGAAGCTTGACGAAATAGGTTTTGAGAAGAAAATGTAATCCAGTCATCATCCCCACAAGATCAAACACAATTCACAGACGGACGAGAGACTGGAGATGAAAGAAGATCCTTCAATCATTTTCGCAAACAAAGAAATTGCCACAAAACATCAATCTGGTTTCGGGACAGAGTGAGTTTGCTTCCATCATCCACAAACAAAAATAAAAATCAAAGTAAAAGAGTTGTGAAACTAGAGATTTGCCAGTTATAAAGGGCCTGAATGATCAAATAGATCTATTGCTAGAAATGATTAGATCCAGACGAGTGTAACTGGTTTGCATTCCGTATCGCAAGCTTGCGAAGATTTGTTTGGCTTGTATTGATTTCAACATCCAAACAAGAAGCTGGGCTTGCCTTCTTTTCATTTAGAGAAAAATCACAAAACAACAACATTTAGAAAAATCAAGCAAAATTTCTAAAGCATAAAAAAAAGGGTAGAAGTAGAAACTAAGCAGAATGGCAATGAAATGGGAGAGAAGGAAGAGATTGTATATCATAGTTTAACATGCAGAAATAGAATGATATTTACTCACAAAAATAAAAGAAACCAATGAAGGAGATGAGGACAGCATGAAAAATTTGACCTTGATAGAGAAAAGAGCAATATAGGACTTAAGGGAGGGTGGAAGCATCTAAGCTTTTTCGCAGGGCGAGAAATGGAGGTTCTTGCAGAAGCATGCCAAAATAAGTTTAGATTGACTTAAAGTACCACCTACCCATCTTGTGCCTAAAACAAAAATATTAAAAAAAAATTTAACTTGAATGTTCTTTGTAACCGGAGCTTTTCAATTTTTAAACCATATTTGAAGTATGTTGTTTAGAACATTTTGCTTATTTTGAAGTATATTGGTTAGACACCTGTATTTGATGCAACATTGAATTTGGGAAGCTTAATCATGAAATTCACAGTTAAAATTTTGAATGAAGTATTATGTGCAATGATATAGGATGGTTGACTGTATTAGGATGGCAACAAGCATATTGGCAAGAATCCTTCTAAATCATGGCTTTTTTTCAAGTGTGTTTTCTTGCACTAAATCCTATTAAAATTATCAAACAGTTTCTCAAGATTTACATGATAACATATCAAATAATTTTTAAGATTTAGCCACCTCAAGAATTGATAAATTTTGCTTACCAGGACTTAATTAATCCCAATTACAGCCAAACAGCCCAATAATACATTGCAAAATGCTACAGCATCTGATCCATAAAATGAGAAAGTATGTCATTTCTTGAGTGTCCTTCCGAGTTGCAAACTTTTATCAATAATTTATACTAACTAGCCCTTACCAGTAGAATAAAATATATCGAAACACCATGACAAACTTAAATTTAATTACAATGCCAAATAAAAAGTCACACCTTAAGAGTATTAAAGTTTGATCTATATCATCAAACGGGCTATCTGGCAATGGATTTAGGCTCAGATTTAACCTGAATGTACGCTAAATCTAGCAAGACGGTCATTTTGGAGAAAATAAGGCCCAACAGGTGGAGAGATTTGATGAAGAGCTATTGGGTTTGTTAACTTTCCTCACGAAACTTCCCAAACAATTTTCATGAATTTATACGATTTAGTAAATCCGTTTCTGGATAGTTTCAGGGATTTAACCAATTCAGGATTTTTCTATTGCATTTACTAAATTCTAATAACTTAAATCTCATCTTTTGTTGGACATCACCTAAATTTAATAAAAATTTGAGCATTTCTTATAAGCGGACAACATCTAAAACACTTTTAGCAATAGATTCAGATACAATAGAGCATTCGGATCTAAAGAAGAAATGCTATCACAAAATCATCTAGATTTTTAAAAGAAAAAACCAACAAGATCGGTGACTTGTTAA